TGGAATGCCAATTGTGCATCTGAATCAAAACAGCTGTAACTCAGGATTTGTTCTTTAATACTTTCAAGAATAAAAGATCACATTAATATATGTAGATTAGCTGGGAATGTGATTAACTTCTTTTAATATTTCATGGGATGCACTGCTGGTTAACATCTAAAGGAAGTATTAATTCTGACTCAGACAAATGATAGATGTCCTTTGTATTTTCATACATGTTTTTGATTCCTTGACCTTTTCTGAATGATCTATTAGGGAAAAAAAAGGCAGAACAAAACACTTTGATATATTATTCTTGGTGCAAGCCAAACAAGATTACTTATTCTGCTTAATAAACTCTGAATATTCTTATCTTGGTACACAAAGCTTTTTTGTATAGAACCACCAAGAACCATTTTCAATGCATCAGACTGCTCACTAACATAGTTTGCAGTTTACTGGTGATTATACTCTCTCTTTTAAACAAGAAACAGAAATTGTGACCCTTTCCTTGCAAAATAAAATTAATAGACTCACAATTTGGATTTCCAATCAGCTTATTTGTACACACGTTTGCAACACAGCAAACTTAACTGGGCTGCTCATTTCCATCACTTTTGTAAGAATATCAGTCTCACTACCTGTTAGCCATAATGTAATCTATTCTAGGAGGCTGTCAGCTCCTTGTCTTTCAAAAAATTACAGTCAAAGAAAGCAAGACACACCCTCCTTTCTCTTCCTTACACCAGCTTTTTTTAATGACATTTGGATTTTTCAAAAATATTTATAGCCCAAGTCAGAGAAAAAATGCTCTGCTAAGCAGAACTGTGTTTTGTAGAGGGTTTAATTCTACTTCAGGCAATTTCTGTATGAAACTACTGTCTCTAAACAAGTAGAACAAGACACTGAAAAACACTCACCCACAGGAGGGAGCTCAGAGGCTTCTCTTTTTCTCACATCAGGGACAAAGAACAGAGCAGCAGAGCATCAGACTGTTCCTATGGGACAGTGACCTCTCCTCTTTTATTTCTCTACTCTCTCACAAAAACATTCAAGCCACACAGTCCTGCCTGAGCTTTAGGGCTTTGTGGTAGGTCTGGAAGGATTTGGTGAACAGATTTAAATGAAGGCTCACTTAAAAGCCCACCACAGGCTGTGGTGTACCATGGATGTCAGTGAGTTTTTCCTCTCCTTTATCACATGAGCCCTGGGACAGTAACTTACAAAAGCTCTGGTAAAGGCCACTGAGAGACAGCCAGGCTCAGGAACTCTTGGCAAAAATTCTTCAGGGCCAGCAGGCAAGGCAAGGTGTCAGGGTGGATATCTCCAAGAAAGTAATGGGTTATTCCATTTAATGATTCTTATAAAGGTTGAACCAGTATAGTGGCTTTAAAACTGGGAGCAAAATAATCAAAATTTTCTACATCTTGGGCTCTTTTATTCTGGCAAATCACAGAATATTCCTGACGAGCACAAACTCTGGGGGCATTGTAAGGCTTTTCTTACAAGCAAAGGACTCCACCGAAGTTCTGGTGTTTGCCTCTGGTCTCCATGTGTGGGAAAATGACTGGGGATAAAAAGATAACAGAGCAGACATTATGATGGAAAATACAGCTCCTTCTTCCTGGACAGAGCATGGTCAGCATCCCCAAATTCCCACACAGTCTAGGGGGGACTAAACAGAGGGTGCAGTGGAGTGGAGTGGAGATGCTACAGCTGGGCTCTGTTGAAACCCTTGCAGAGGTGGTAACTTGGTGGGACTTTCTGATAAGCCACACAGCATCTGAAAACTGAGGGAGATAAAGATATCCTGCTGTTGAATCAGCTACTGTGGCAAAAGCTCTCTCCTTGGGTAAGGAAATGTACTCTATGGATGTTGAATGATCTTGAGCTGGCTTTTACTGGGGACTAGAGCTTGTTAGGATATTGTTTTGAGTTAATGTTGTTTGAGTAGTCTTTGTAGTCGGTTACAATCACCTGCAATCCTTGAACCTTAACCTGTGACTGTTTTATTAGAATATTACCCCATAAGCTGTTAATGTGAGTCCTTTAAGTGTGAGCTGCTGTCAGTGGATGAATGTGTGGAGACCTAGAAGGAGGTTTTTATGTTTGGTGTGTGACCCTGAACAAGTCAGCCAAACCATCCTCTGGCACAGCAGGGCTGTTTTGGGAAGACTCTCCATGTCAGGACACCAACAGACTGGTTGGGCTCAAGGGTCTTGGCTTTCCTGGGGCACTGACAGACTAATCAAATACTAAGGGTTTGAAGAAGTCTCCCCTTTTCATAGACACCATGACTACAGCCAATCCAGCTGAAGCATAACCCCAATGCTGCTAGGAGAGGTGACTTTCACAAAAAAAGCCAAGCTCATTTCAGAAACTTAATCAAAAGAGAGGAGGACATAGGGAGGTGACAGTCAGAAATCTCTATCACCTCATCCTGAGCAAACCACAGGGTGATCACAGCTCAACCATCCTTTCTGTGGGGGAAGACAGTGCCTGAAGGGTGAGGTACAGTGAGGGGGAAAAAAGGGACAAAGCCTCCTCATTCAAATCCCAGCAAGAGAATTCTTTAGCAAAGAACAAGCCACACATTATCTGGAAAGCTCAACATTGTCCTCCCTGTTGTTTAATTTAAGAATCACACAGTATTCTCACTTGAAAAACAGAGCTTTAGTATCCTGAGTGGTGTCTGACTAATAAATCAGGAAGCCAGCTCATCTCCAAGCACCATTTAGACTCTTTCTCACCATGAGCTAGATGCTGTAGTTTTTACCTGAAGCCTCATTTTTGTTTGCTTCAATACACCATCTGAATTTAATATAGGTAGCACTTGTGTGCTTCATTTTGAACTGAATTTCCTAAAATACTGACAAAAAAGTATCAAAATATGGATTTTTAACTGACTTTGGTGAATTTAGTTATGAAGAATAGCTTCTGGTTTTCTGAAATGTTAATATCAAGATTGTCTGACAAAGCCAAAAGAATTTGGAAGTTTGATTCATTGTTTAATACCAAGTTGTAGGTATTTACAACTGTTTCATTTTGCCATTCATTTTATCTGTTATACTCCCTCCATGCATTTATTCAGCTCAACAGTTGTATTAGAGAATATTGAACTCACCTCAACGTTTATGCCTGGAAAATGCCTTTAAGGTCACAAGGTAATGATTTCATCAGAAGAACCAAGCAAAAGTGGAAGGAATGGGTGGGGGGTGGGGGGGGAGAAGAGTGAAAAAAACCTTCTTGTTGAAACATAAATTTCTTTTGTGAGGCTGATTTGAGCAGTTACAGTTCTGGGCCTGTGTTAGTGAGTGGATGTGGGTATAAACACCACCCAAGCTCTCCTCTCACTATAGATATTTTTTTTTTTGCTAAATTGGCTCAGGCATGGTCTCTGCTGAACCCCGCTGTCTCTTCTGCCCTGAGGACTACAGTCAGTGCCATGCTCTTCTGCCAGGTCCCATCTGAGCCTTTTGGCCACTTGCAGCACCCAGATTTCATGTCACAGCCCCTCCATTTTGCACTGGCAAAGGGGACCAGTGGCAGCAGGGCCCAGGGGGAGATGATGCTGGATACAGCAACTATCCCTCAGGCATTCCCACTCCTTAGATAGCTGCTCAGTGCTGCTGGTGTGCAGCAGTGTCTGCACCCAAACTTAGAGGTCATGCATATTTTGCAATGTAGATATTTGGCTATCAAAGGTATTGCTGACGTTTTGAGTAAGGACTGGAATTTGCTATATATAATTAACAGTAGGGGGTGGTGCTTTTTTGGATAATGAGGTCTTTAGATGCTGGAGGTTGAAAGAGAGTGGAAAAGGGATGCACATATGATAAAAGGGATGCACATATGATATTTCATATAAAGTAGTCTGGTGATAATGCCCAGCTCACGCTTCCTGGACAGGCCCTTTGATGTTCAGACCATGCATGAGATGTGAAAGGAATGACTGACAGTCCTGGGACAACACATGGAGTCTAATGAGCTCACTGAGGCTCATCACACCCAGTTCTGACATTTCAATCTGAGCCCCTCAGCTTCTGGGGATGGGATTCACCCTTTAGTTTGCCCACAGCTCTGTGTCTTTGCAAACTGACCATCTCCAAGTCACTTCCAGAAGACAGAGCTCTTCCCATGTATCACAAACCTCTCTGAATGCTGTTTGTGGTCATACCTGTCCCCCATGTCTTTCCATTGCTGACTGCCATCCTACTCCAGGTTTTGGCTTGCAAGGTCAGTGTGTCTGTCACCTCTGCATTCACATCCCACACACATTCAGCATGAGGAGGCAGAGGCAAAAGCATTAGGCTTTGCTTGAGCAGCCACAGCAGCTCCTGTTACTGAGCTCCCTGTCAGACCCTGGGGATTCCCTGTCACACATGTGCATCCTCGAGCTGCTGCACACAGCATCTGCTGCAAATAACCTGGCTGGAGTTGAGCAGATGGGCTGAACTCTGATCTTGGAAAGCACTTCCCCTCCTCTCCATGGGACCCTGCCAGACATTGCTGTGCATGGGAGCCAATCCAGCCTATCCCAGACAATGACTGTAGGACTGTGCTCACGGGTGCTACTGGCCCTGAATCCTTACACAGCAAAGATGCTCTCAGCACCCTCACGACTTCTACCAGAACAACAGCTCAGCCAGATTTCTGTCAGCAGCACTGACATGCTGATGGCTAGCTGCATAGGCTGCCATTTAAGAACATAAAAAATTTAATATGAGAAAAGAACTGTTATGTTTTTCCCTTGAAGCCACAATAGACTGTGACTGAACCTTCCTAAAACGTCATATCAATGGAGAAGGGACAGAAGTTCTCAGAAAATACCATTCCCAAACTTTGGATCCCCTGATGTTTTGAGATTTAGGATTTGGGAATTGCCTGTATTTGTAAGGCAAAATGGTATTTGCTCAGTGGCCTAAGAACTACAGATGAAAATAAGTCCCAGGTTTAGTCATCTTTTTGGTGACTCTGGTTCAGTACATCAACAGGTCTACTGAAATGAATAGATTACTCCATTTAGTATGTGGCATTTTAATATTTGATTAGTTTTTAACTTTCAAATAAAGTCTTTTGTGATAGATGTTTTGTGTCACATTTCCAGGCTTTTAGAAGGTAATAGTGAGTCTCATGACCTTTCCCTTCCCAAGAGCTGCTCAGACACTGAACTCTGATGACACATGTCAAATAATTGTTTCAGCTAGGCCAGCTGAAACTCCAAGCATGGTATTTCATATCCAGTTCACTTTTCAATGGTTTATTTGTAATTTAAACCACAGTTAAAGTTATCCAGCATTTGGCCACTAGGTCAGTAACAGATGACCTTTGCCAACAGCACAATGTGCTTTGAAGGCCAGTAAAACTAGAAAACTGAGAAAAAATTGATAGGTTAAGGTGTTGTCTGTGGGAACTGATGCCCATCCTCTGTCCAAACACCAGTTTCCATAATGCAGTGCTGTCATCTGGCTGACCTTCTTCTCTGTTCCCCTGCTGCCCATGGCCTAAAGTAAAAGCACCTCTCTGTAGTCAGAGCTGAGTCTGAGAAAGAAGAAACTCTCAAAAATATCCTTTCAGAAAAAAAGAAAGGCTTCATAAAAACAAGTCCTCATGCTTTCGCCTTTGTCACAGCCCACTCTGCGATACCAGCACCATCCAGCAGCCCAGGGTATTTTGGATACTTCTGCTCTCAGATTCCATCCAGCCTGGTTAGTCCCATCCTCGCTGCAATCGGGTGCTGGGGGCACCGGCCTGACCTTGGATTGTTTCTTGGGAGTCTTCCCCCACAGCAGCACACCCTTGTCCCCCGTCTGCTGTGCCCCTCGGTCCCTAGGAGTTGCACTCCTCGCAGTGGCAGGAGAGGATGTAGCGGTAGGTGGCCGTCAGCCTCATGCCCCCCGAGCACCGCAGCCTCATGGCCTTCAGCTTGGAGGTCTGGGGCCGGCAGCAGTGGCAGCTGGAGCGGAAGGGCTGCTTCAGGACGGTGCTGAAGGAAACCATGGGCTCCGAGCGCGAGGTCTGGCTGCAGCGGCCTTCGCAGCGGGCCAGCAGCACCATCTGCCAAGGAAAACACAGCGGTTAGCAAACGTGTCCCCAGCACACAGCTGACACCAGCAGCTCCTTCCAGCCTGGCTGGCCTCTTGTCACTGCATCCCAGCCCCACACCGTGCTTTACCCCTGGGCTGTGTCTGAGAGAGTGGGGGACATAAAGTGAGCAGGAGGAAAAGCAAGGCTCCCCCTGCAATCCCTGGCACTGACACCAACAAGGACAGCGGGACCTGGTGACCTTAAGGCTCCAAATGATCTCAGCCAGCCCTGCTTTCCAGACACCGTGACTGCAACTGAGATTTGCTGACTCCAGATCTGCGGCAGTCAAGACCTTAAATCGTCAGCCAGGCTGATTCTTTGGGTATTTACCAGTGTTCTGAGTATACACACCAGTGATCAGCAGAACTGGCTCTCATGCCTCAGGTTTAGATATTTGGACATGTAAAGTAGAAATATAAAGAAGATGCTCAGTTTATTGCTTTGAAGAAGCATGTTTGAGCTCACTCTTTTGCCAAATATCTCCTTGAACATGTATTTGCAATTACATGTGTATCTATGTATCAGTGCATCAGCTGTGTCTATATAAAATGCACTGCTTTGCATTTGGCAATGAAAATGCAAAAAAAAAGTTTAACTGAGGTTGCCAAACATGAAGATTCCCTAGTGAGATTTTCAAAAAACAGTGCTGCTCCAGGTTTCTTCTTCTGAGGTCAGATGTGAGCTGTGACCAGAACAAGGTAACTTGCATGACAGGAGGCAGTAAGGAAAGAAAGTCCATGAGCAGTCACCTACTTCCCAACAACCCCTTGAGCAGAGGAGATACAGCATTAAGCACTGCATAAATCTTGGAAAGGACCTTCTAAAGCTCAGCAAATGATGTGTTAGAAACAGCTGTTACCACCTTGATAACGGGTGTTGTACAAGTTTGAACAGGCTCCCATGCTTTCATGGGGACGGAAGTATCAAATCCATATCAGCTAATTTTGCTTAACCAACATAAACTTCAATATCAGCTTATTATATCATCTTAAGTAGGCAGTAAAACAGTTGTCTTTCCTATAAGCAAGGGAGAGCATTACATTTTAACCGTGCTACACATATCTCACCTTTTTTTTTTTCCAGAAAACCTGAAAGAACAACTACAAATGTGACAGCAAATACTTTACGGTGTTAAACCTTTTTGGGCTTCTTTCATTACACAAGCTCAACTGGCTGCAAATCTCTAAGTTATGCAAGCAGGTACATCAAATGTTTAATTTTCTCTTTAGTCAGAGCTGTAAGGAAAGATGACATAAAAGACAGAGAGACTATTCCTGAAATCAAGTAGGAAATGGCAGCATTGTCTGTGTCCATGGGAAATGTCCTGATCATCCATTGTACAGTGCTTAAAAATTACTCTTCCAAGAATACTTGCATGCTAAATGTTTTGCTTGAAAATGTATTAATGTATCAACAACTACACTTCCAGTCAACACAGGTTGCAAAGATGTCTTCATGAGTTGATGATCTCTGCTTGGTACCATCATGCTTCTTAAAAGAGATGGGCTTTTGTCCCTCTCTGACAAATCTGTCATCCTTTAAGCTTTGTAGCATAAATTTATGGTCTCCTTCCTGTGGTACTGTGTATTCATACATAAATTAACTTCAGCTGTTTGTACTAATGTGGTGGGAGGGAAATTTCAGTGTATTGTTGAGTCACACCTGAGCTTTACACCTATCAGCTACACCAAGCTCCTTAATACCTGAGTTTAGTGTATAGAGAACATGAAAGGGACAATCACTGCAGTGCTGTCACCCCATTACTCACAGATAAAGATCCACTTTTTTCCCTCTGGAAACAAGCCTCACTTCTCAGGCAGGCAGCTGGTGAAGGTATCTAATTAAATACCTAGAAATAGCTATGCAGACTGGGACATTTAATCCAGCAATTTCCTTCCCAGCATCTTGTTGTCTCTTGTTAGGTCCCCTGCTTTGACCAGTTCACCAGACTGTGCACTCTGTGTTCCCAAGTGTTTGGCTGAATCACAGAATCACGTTGGAACAGACCTTGGAGATCATCAATAAATTTTGGGGGTGAAGAGCAATCCAACAGCACCTGACAACTCTTTGAAGGCCTCAAAGACAACAGAGTTGAACTCTCCTCAGGAGTGGTACAGGGGGACGTACAACAGCCAGAAATTTATTTTGGAGAGGTTCAGGGTATCCCTAGAGTCCCTTTCAAGCAATCATTTCCATGATTTCAGCCCAAATGTGACAGCCCACACTGCTGTATGGTGGGGCTGACTTCTGATGCTTCTGGAGTTGGAAAAATCAGTCACTTTCTGGTACAATGCCCTAAGAATTCTTATGGCACATGTCTGCTCGTGTATCTGCAGGTACTTTCAGAAATACCAGTAAAAATAAAACATGAAACTGGCATGACTAGAGAAGAGTTGTCCAGAGTAATTATAGGGTAGAATTGTGTGATGTGCCAATATCTCTGTCTCAATATATTTCTCATAAACAGCTGGCTTCCTAAGGCAAAGCCAGCCAATATTTAGTCAATGTACCACTGTATTTATAATTTACAATTTACAATTTACAATTTACAATTTACAATTTACAATTTACAATTTACAATTTACAATTTACAATTTACAATTTACAATTTACAATTTCTAAGCCTTGTCTTTAAAAATTTGTTTTAATATGTGGAGGCTCTCATTTTAATCTGCAATTTTGCTGGCTACTTAGTTCTTTATAAGATTAAGATCAGTGTTTATATAATGTAGATGTTAGAAAAACCAATGCAGTGTTGGTTTTATGCCTTGTTTTTGGATGACAGTGTAAACTCTTACCAATGGCATAAACCCAAAGTTATCAAGTTGAACTTTCAGGCTAAAAAAAATTATCAGATTTCCCATTTTCATAGCTTTCTAACCTTCTGGGCTACCTAAAATTTAAATAAAGTCCTACCTAAAATTTACCTTCCTCTTCATAAATCCAGAACAGCCAGTGGATTTTGGCAGGTGTTCAAATGAGCTGGAAATAGCATGTACTTTGAAAGCTTTGCTTTGCCTTTTAATCAATTGCACCAGCTGCTTGTTGCTTTGTGTATTATAGTGCAATAGAGATTATCACCTAGATAATTAGTAATGCTATGATGGCATGGCACAATGATACAGTGGGTGTGTATATATAGTAAATAGATGTGGGTGTTTTATAACCTGACACCTCTTGGCTCCCCTCGGCCCCGCACATATGAATTTGTGCATGTCACCTTGCAAGGCTGGATCCAGAAGCACAGTGTCCTACAAGGGAGCCACGTGGGTCTATGAGCAGCTAGGGAAGAATATTATTATCATTATCATTATTTTTATCATTATTGTTATCATTATTGTTACCATTATCGTTATCATCATCATTACCATTATCGTTTTATCGTTATCATTATTTAAAGTCAATGGTCTCATAGGTACAAAAGACAGAAACCTGAATCCGAGGCAATATTTGACTCTGGTTGTTTGAGCTGTATTCTGGAAATCCAGAAGCTGTGAACTGGTTTTTTATTAATGGCATTTGTAGTCCTCTTTTCTGCACCTTCAGCAACAAGCTGAAGCTCGAAAGCAGATGGGCTGAGATGCCTAAGAACAGATTTTCACACAGTTCCTGTGACCTGGCTGCAAGCAGGCATTACTGAAAATCTCCTGAGCTACCTCAGGAGTAAATGTCTTCGAACATCTGCTAAATCTTTCTTCATCTGCTCTGTGTCTCCCTGGGCTGGATTCTTTAGTGCAAGACTGTCAAGCACACTTCTGGCACATCTGGACGAAGCACTTGTGACAGCCAAAACTGGAATTTAGGAGGCTCTGGGAGCAGTAAGGGAACCCAGCACATTGATGGAGACCAGTGGGTCTCTGTGACAGAGGTCAGGGTAAATCAAATAAAGTTAGGAAAGATAATGCCTCATGAGTTGATATAAACATTTCCTTGAAGACAAAGGAAAACACTGCTTTTCTGGAACAAATTGCCTTCTTCCATCCCTCCTTTGTGTCTCTTTTGTATGTTTTGTTACTGTAATAGACTATGTTTCCAAAGGATTTGGAAAATTGTTTTCATCACCTGCCTGAGGCCATAAGCAAAAGGGATTTTAATGATTAAATTATCCTGACTGGATGTTTAATGAAACTGCTTCCCATGTGGGTACAATTGGCAGCCTCGCAGAGAAACACAGTGGACGTAATCCTTTTTCAACCAGGACAGACAGCAAACATAATATGTCTTGTAATTTCTGAAGCCACTTTTAACTTCTGTAACTCTACGCTGCACCAAAAAGGAAAACATATGGAGAGAAAAAGAATATCTCAGTGAAATCAGTCTAGCACCCCAAAAAAGGGCAAAGTCTCTGCTTGACACTGTCAGTCCAACCTTCCACAATGGAAACTTGGTGGAAACAAGAGGTACCACAATTCCCACAGCTACTCCCACAAAACTTTCCTTTTTTGTCTTGGTTACATTTTATCACAATATATACATATACAGACATTGCATCCAGTTTTAATTAGCATGTCTGATATTCCTCTGTGTTTATATGCTACTAGATCCAGAACAGAAGCCATACATCTACCAGAATGATTCAGATACCCGAGACCTTAAAACCAAACCAAACCAAACCAAACCAAACAAAACAAAAACCCACAAAAACTAAACAAAACAAAAATAAAATAAAACAAAACAAAAAAACCCAAACAACAACAAAAAAAGACTTTGACTTAAGAGAGTTTTCTGGGAAATTATTTTGATTTGTATGGAAACTGTTTTCATTTTCCACTTGATGAGAAAGTCCATAAAATTCACAGTATTGTTATAGAACTGTTGTTGAAACTGTTGTTGAATTTGTGAAGCCAAATTATGTGATAATATTTTCAAACATGATTTCCATCAAAGGCTTGATTTGAAAATAATCACTGACTTTTGCAGCCAGAATTATGAATGTGTATGTCAACAACTTTTTTCCCTCAAAGCTCAGTTTTGAAATGATATGGTTTTCATTACACTGTGTTCTGTGTTCTCATTCCCATCAGCCCCACTCCTAAGGGCCTGATTGTTTTTTTTTTGTTTTCTCTGTCACTGGGGATGCTAAAAAAAGTGAATTGTCAATCAGTCCTTCCTTCCTTCCTTCCTTCCTTCCTTCCTTCCTTCCTTCCTTCCTTCCTTCCTTCCTTCCTGCCTTCCTGCCTTCCTGCCTTCCTGCCTTCCTGCCTTCCTGCCTTCCTGCCTTCCTGCCTTCCTGCCTTCCTTCCTGTGATCAGAAAACTGCAGAGAGGGGAGGACTGGTGGCACACAGATCCCTATAAATGAAAACCACACACACACACACCTACTTTTTGTCACTTTTGCCTCTTGCTGAAGTCAAGTGCAATAAAACCAATATTGCACAGAGATGCACCTCTGCAGTTCTCTGTGTTAGCACCATATGTCTCCCAGATGGCAGGGAGCTCTAGTCCAGCCTGAAAGCAAATCAAAAGACCTCTCCTGAATCTCAAGTAAAGCATGATTTTACTGTTTGGATTCAGAAGAAGTCGGGTAAAAGTCTCTGGGCTCCCACTGCTGTGAATCAGGCTCCGTTATGCTAAACCAGGCAGACAGCAGTGCTGAGAGAACAGCACAAGGAGCCCAGAGCAGAGCAGGCTCCCTGTGCCCAGGTCTGAGGCTGAGCTGGCACAGGATGAGCCTGGCTGCAGAGCCTTAGCCAGGGCAGCAGCTGTCCTGGTGCACAGAGAACCCAGCAAGTCTTATTAAGTCCACAGAAATGTGGACACTTCTCTCTATGCTTTATTTTAGTTTTTATGATCTGCAACTGTCCCTCACCCCTGCACTGATTTACAGGAGGCAAGGAACTCCTGCACGTGAAGGCACCTGAGGGTGTCCACAGCCAGCACTGCATCCATCTCAACTCTGGATCCTCTCTCCCAGGATCCCTGCTGCTGGGGTTTGCCACCGGCAGGCAGCCTCTTGTGATAAACTCTGTCACACACCGGCCTCTCGTCCCTTACTCAACACAGGGCTGGCAAAAGCACTGGAGTTGGCAGTCCTTCCCTTTCCTTAATCCTGGGATGCGAGTGCCTGAGGCAAAGCCCCTTCCCATGGGACAGAGAAATGGCCCAGCCATCTGAATGTACAGACTGTGTTAACTCAGACAGAACAAATTAGGACAAGACAAAAGGGGCCAGCAAGGATTTTCCCATTGTTTCTCCCAATTCTTTTTCTCCACACAATGAAATAAATTGCTGTAGGCTACATGTACAGGCTGCTAAACCATTTTAACACAAAACTTTTCAGGCTTGAAATCCCAAATGAAAGTCAATTTTGTATTTCTGTCTGCTCCTAAGCCCTAAAGTTACCATCCAAGTGTCATTCTGCGTGAAAACAAAGATTTTGAAAAGGGGGTGGGCAGGGAGAAAATAAGCAATGCTCTTCACAACCTTTTTCAATCACCATTTTACAATTTGGTTCTTTATCTCAGTACCTCATCTGCAGTATCAATGAACTTGCTCCAGATGAAAGTACACTTGAAGGATGGGGTGACCAGGGTGATCTAAACTTCCAAACTAGCCTGTCCCCTTGGACCATCAGCTGAGATCCCAAATGTGCTCCTTTGAATCTTGTGATTTACTGCATGTAAGCTCATCATGGTGAATTTCTCCTTTTGAAAAAGTGGAAAGCGAGTCAAGAGCCTTTATCTCCAGTCCCAGTTACGTACACACAGGATGCCTTCACATCCGTGTGTCCCTGCTGCTGGATTCTGGTAGATAGGAACTGTAGCAGAGAAAACCACCCAGAATGGCTCATTTTAACAACTCTTCCCTGGCAGCATGGGGTGGTGAGGAGGTGAGGGGAGGCCTTACCTTGGAGCTGCACTTGTAGAGAGGGTGGCTGATGGAGTCCACGTAGTGGTGCCTCATACAGCGGCTGGGGTCGGAGTCGATGAGGAAGGACCCGTCTGTTTTACTGTCCGTGTCCCCCATCATCACCAGGAGCGAGAGCATGGAAATCGAAGCAGCGAGTACATGATTTCCCATTGTCGAGGAACTTCTCGCTGGTAACAGCAGAGGGAGGTAGAACATTAAAAACCCTCCAAATTCCGAAAGCCAGTTCCTTTCCAGGATGGTGAAAAGTCTGGTTTAAGTGTCTGAGCTGTCATTCTTCTTCTCAAGTTGGAGTCTGACGAGGTTTTAATCCATCAAAGAATCTCCTGCGCAGCTGGAATAAAAGCAACATAAATCACAATCCTGAGCAAAAAGACCTCCGGAGAAAATAGACAGAAATAATGTTAAGGCACTTAGGACCTTTGCTAGCCAAAATACTGCTCAGCGTGAGCATCATTCGCACAGTAGGTAGGGAATATGGCCTTAAGGAAGGAGATCTCAAGGCCTTGTCACTTTTAGCATTTTTCTATCATTTCAGGGAGAACCTTTCGTCTTTTAACATCACAAGTGATGCAATGCCATTCTTTTCCACTTGGTGACGATCCTATTGTGCTCCCCTCAAAACCGATGATTAGTAATACATCAGAAACTTCTGAAAATTGGAAGGACTCTGTATCCACTCAAAGTGTCAAAGAGAGGCAAAGCTTGGCTGCCTTCCTCATTTCAGATGGGAAGGTCCTAGGGAGCCCATGGAAAGGCTGGAGGCAGGATGAGCTGTGGCTCTGCCTGGCAGTGCCCTGGAGCTGGTGTTCTGCAGGGACAGGAGACACCCCCAGGGTGGAGGGATGCTGAAGGTCCCAGCCCAGGCATGAGCAAGGTGGTCCCCCAGGGAATTGCTGAGCCCCGACCTGCACTGCAGGAGGAGCTGCCTGGGCCTCTGGCTGCCCTGCCCTCTGAGTTCCAAATTCCCATGCTCACACATTGACAGGCTTTGTTTGCTTACTTGTCAGGCAGCACTTTCCCGGTGTCTGTCTCTTCCCAGCTAATTAAGGAGCAGCATCTGAAAAATACATTTATTGTTCCGTAATATCCAAGTACTATCCCAGCTATCACTTGGGAAGAAATATGTTCAGGTGGAGCCATATGGCTATCTACCCAAGCATCTGGATTTCTGGTTCATGTTGGAGATCAGGAGATTCCCCAGGAAACAAGTTCAGGACAACCCCTGAAATGCTGCCCAGAGCTTTGTGCCAGCAGGGGAAGGAGAATATCTCCATCAGCTGCTTCTTCATAGTCCCTTGATCCTTCTCACAAAGCCCTTAGTCCCAACTGGATGATTAATTTCACTTTTACTACAAACAGATATAACTTGAAAGAGCTGTGAATTATCCATCTAAACACAGCCTGATGAAGGATAGTCAAAGGATACTCATCAGTACGGTTAAAAGTGCAAGGACTTTCTGAAGAAACTTAAGATAAAACAGTTCCCTACTCACAAAGAAATGCTCCAGCAGAGCCTCTTGAGTATTTAAAGAGCTGATGTGTGCCTTTACTGCCTTATACAAGCCTCTTTCAAAACTGTTTTCTGGTTTGCTGGCAGTGCTCTAAGCCTGCTGATACTCATCTCCCAAACAGCCTCCTCACCAGAGTGCTTGATGATTTGTGTGTTGGTTTCTAGCCTCCTCCAGCACTTCTGTGAGAGGAGTGCCTAGCCGTGACAAACGCTTCCAGAGTTCATCCAAGTTGGGATGGCGCTGATGTGACACCCGAAGTCTCATGCTGGGAAGAAATGTTATTAGGGATGCTCTGTGTGTTAGAGAAACAAAGATGCTCTGTGTATTAGACATTTTTGTTGTTGTTGTTTCAGGCTATTATCCATGTGCTTAAGTAGGAAAGGAAAAATTACGTGACTGTGGATTTAAATGACAATATCTTTTTTTTTCCCAGAGTCTGACATATGACCTGGTATATTTTCCTCAGCAAATGGGGCATTAAAAACATACTATGTCTTTGCAGTATAAAGAACTTAAACAAACGATACTAAACACTTAGGATGTCAGATACATTTATGCACAGCCTCATTCATGTCAATAAATTTTACATTTACAAACATTTTAGCAGCATAGGAGAGAAATCTCTCGGTCATGGGAGCTGGGACAGACTCCCTCCCCGAAGTGAACTGTGCTACTCCAGTTCATGCAGATGATGCCCAAGGATTAGCTAACAGGAGGAGGGATGCACTATTTTTTTCTCCATGTTTAACCTTTTACCTACATTCCTATTCTTTTTTATAAAGAGTCTGACCAAAACATGCTGCTTGGCAAGGTCTCCCTCCAACATAGTTAATCATTATTACACACCCAGTAATTCCCTCTCAGTCCAAATAAATTTGCTTGATATTAGACAGTCTCATTTCACGTGATATTACACCCAGGGATCCCCATTTCCCATACTCTCCATCCCACTGTTAATTCTGTGCTTCTATATCTTTCCATGGTTTTGATCAGTATGATTTAATACAGTGAGAGAAATCTGAAGTCCTGGCTCAGTTTTCAAAGGCTTATCTCCCTAGTTTTCTTCAGGAAATAATTGGATGACACAGAGTCTGCCTCATGAAAATACTTTGAGAAAGACACAGGGAAAAGTGTGAGAAAAGGAACATGGCTGAACTGTCTTCAGGATAAGCACAGTACAAAAAGTATTAACACTTCCACAACCTTTTAAAATTGCCCTGATACTTCACTAACAAAGAAATCCAGCAGGTTTTTGTAACAGTACTTTGGAAAAGTGAAATGTATCACATATTTATAAGAAAAAAAAAGAGAAAACCATTGTAAATATGATCCATCTCTTGTGAAATAAATAAATGTGTATCTTCTGATGTACCTATGGGAAGCATGCACATACATTTTTCAAGCAAATATGCTATATATAACATAATATAGAAGAAAAAGTCTTAGAGGGCAATTTAAACACATGGAAGTTGGGTATAGATTTTTCATTCTGCAAAAAAAATACCAAAATATTTTCACTTAGGTACATCACCATGATGAGGTATGTTGGCATGATATTTTCCATTTCCAGCTGGTATTTCCAGCAGCGGTGTTTCACTTGAACTTAGCATTATTTTTTATTTTTTAAGTTAAAAATTGCATTCTTTTTGAAATGCTGTCTGAAATTATAAAATCCTAGATAGCACATGCTATCAGGATTGGCATGAGTAGTTTCCAGTCTATACTTCTGTCCAAAAAAACAGAAGCAAGTACAATTGCAATCATCAATCATCATTACAATGACATTTTGTTTCATTTGGAAAATGTACTTTTTTATTAAAATAACAATTTCACACAGAAATTTTTTCCTTTAATTTCAGCTGTTTTTTTCCTCACTTCCTTTTCATGCAAAAACTGTGGTAGATAGCTCATTTGCCAGGCTAACACAAAGGAAGCCTAAACCCTCCCTCTTTGCAGCATCCTGTAAAGAAAAAGATGCAAACGTGACCTTGTATCCTCAGGCTGAAAATTTGCTACAAAAATAAATGGCCTAACAGGGGATGAAAATCACTACACATTTTTTTCAGAATTCACTGAGATATGGGAAGTACATTTTCTTAGCAATGGCTTAGTTTCCTTTCCATATAACCAGTTTTCAGGATTTCATAGAGACATAACATGCTAAAGCTTGTCACAGCTGTTACCTAAAACCGCTACAGCTGTTAACCTAAAAACTTCAGGGAAAAACAGAAGACATCCCAAAGAAAAACCATATTAACATACAGTCTAAGAATGTATTGTATATAGGTGCAAAGTTAGGGTTATTTTTCCAACTCCACGTTCTTATTAACTGCTTTCTGAATAATAAAGATTTCTTATCATAGTTTTAATATCATTTAGAGAGTGGTGAAGGCTAAGGTTTTGTTTTGCTTTAAGGACAGAAGAACATTCCATCATCTGGAATTATTTAGCCAGTCACTTTGTGAGAACATAAACAGAAATTCCCTTTTTGCTATGTATCTTGGAAAAAATAAAGAGCTGAGCAATTCTCCAAAGGTCTGTTGGATCTGCACAGCTTTTACCCTGGGAGGTAGGAAGGGAGCAGTGGAAAAGCTCTTTTATGGTGTTCCTCTAGTTAGTTGTTCCCTGAGCCCCCCATATTAGGCATGCACGTATGTTCAGCTTGGCCTTCATTTGCTGGGCATTTTCTATGTTTGAGACTCCTGCCTGAAGATGGGGGCACCCTTTAAGTCACTCAGTGCTTTTTGTGTTTTGGAGGCTGCCAAAATCCCGTTGAAGCAGTGGTGTGTGTATATAACTTAAGCCTGGCCTTGCATGCTGTGCGTATTTAGTAAACACAGTTACTTGAATCCTACCGTGTGGTTCCCTCAATCTGAATTTGTTATGTAAACAGAGGAGTTGCAAGACTACTCAGTTTCTCCAAACTACAGACCTAAAAACATGTCACCAGCCATGTATGTGTATATATATGTGCATGTTCATCAACTCACTGCTGCTGTTCTGAAAAAAAAACCAAAAAAAGCCACAAAGTTCCATGAATCGAAAATGGATTTCTCAAGAACTTTATCGAGTTCAAAAAAGTTTTGATTTTCCAAGAAGATAAGGATTTGGGGACTTCACTCTCCAAGATCTGGATTGGAGTGGAAACAACTGTGACGGGCAAATTATTCAGTCAGGCTCCACAAGGGTTTTTTCTGCAGGGTGAGTTCTCCACTGCAATGACAAAGGCAGCGTGTTCTGTTCCCAAAGATCCTTCAGCACCCACAGAGTTGGTGGTTTCCAGCCCATGCAGCCATCCACACCATGCCTGGGAACAGCTTGGGAAGCCCAAGAGCTGTGGGACTGAATCTCTCCAGTGACAATCTGAGCCGTGCCAGAGAACAGTTCATGGAGTAGGAGAGGCAAGCCCAGATGAGAGGCTGTGTCTGACCCTGCTTTCTGTAGAGCCACCTCAGAGTCTCTGTCAGTTCCAGCGTATCTTTTAGTTCTGTAAATAAATACAATCATCTTCTTATCTATTTTACCATGGCCATTTCCATGCCAGCAGTGAAGGAGCTGAACTTCTGTGTGTGCTGTCAAAAATGCTCTCTTCACTCTGCAGCTGCCTGTCAAAACACCTGACAGAGCCACTGAGTGGCCCCATGGCAGCCAGGCAGCAGCAGGTGAACACAGGCAACCCCAGTTGTCTGAGAAATGCCTCCACACAACATTTGAACAGGTTTCTTCCCATCCTGAGGCAAGGCAAATACCAAACCAAATATTTTGAGTGAGACCCTTACAGGGCTAAATAAGTGAATGTTCCCCCAAGGTCTTGTTGTGCTTGAGTGGGTTTGCTCGACTGCCATTCAGCTGTGCTGGAGCTTCTCCTCTCCCATGGCAAGGGGAATGTCTTCATCCATGGTCCAGGAGCTGCCTTACACAGCAGGGCAGTCTGTGCCTGCAAGGAGGGTACGCAAACAACACACACTCCTGGCCAGAGCTGGCAGCAGCTGGTGGGCAAGAGGAGAGGGGAAGAAAAAAGGCAATAAGAAGGAAAACAGGCTCAAAAGAAGGGAATTTAAGCCTCTACATCTGGTTGTCCATGGTAGAGAAGTCCATTCTCTGGTCCTACTAAGGCAGTGCTAAGAGAAGAGCCAGAACATCATTTTTTTACTGCGAGACTTCCTTAAGTCTTTTAATATTTCTGGAGATGAATACCTGTCACTGTAAGCAGAAAAGAAAAAATAAAAAAGTAGGAAGACCACAGCCTGTGAAGCATAAGAAGCAACATAGCAATTGCAGCAAACACAGTGGAAGCACCCTGGGAGCCTCAGCACACGTGGGATGAGCACACACGGCACCGATTCCCTGGGCTCGTTTAAGGCCCCAAAAGTGTTCCTGCCGCGGGGACCCGGTGCATGAGGTGGAACAAATCCAGCTGAATGGCACTTGAGCTGTCTGAACTTCCCTCCGCTTCTGAAGTTCCCAAGAACATTTCCAGCCCTTCAGGTAGCAGGAGAGGGGGAGCAGGAGGTGCCTTCCTGCTCAGCAGTTGAAATAACAAACTCCAGTGGGTACTGTGGGCTGGCACCCGGCCAGCAGACAGGCACGGGCCAGCCCGGAGAAAAGGGTTTAATACACTCACAAAGAATAACTACTGGGAGACAAAAGAATGCTTGTATTTTTATTCTTTCCTTTTCCTGCTTCCAGGAAGCTTTAAATAGATTGATTAGGGCCATGCATGGGATATCTCTCTAATGAGGGAGTAGAGCCTTTTAATGGTGAGGTGATGCCAACCTTGGGTTCTTTCTTTATTCTTGTTTCTTGCTGAGTATCAGAGTAGTCGTGGTCTTGAGTCTCGGACAGCAGAGGAATACAATTTTCCACTTGAGGGATGAGATTACTTCTTGGTGAAGCACCAGGTGCAGAGCTGAGCAGTCTAGGGCTGTCCATCCCTCTCAGGAGGCAAACCAGGGTGGCTGCTGGCTACAGTGCAAGTGTTCCCAGCCAAGCTTTAGCTATAGGATTTGCTTCAGTAATTTCCTCTACTTCAGTCTTATGACCCAACATGAGGCAAAATTACCCTTGGCCAAATTACAAGTTGCTGAGAGGTCTAGGGCATTCAGGCATGTGTCCTCTACCTCTTGAAGTGTTTTACAAGCAGGTGGGCAGTTTTTGTTCTCTGTCTTTCATATATTTTCCAGCAAACTGAAAGGCCTGTAGTTATCAATAGATGCAAGAGCAGGAATGGGTCTTTTTATTCTTTAACACTGAGCAAACATCCCTGCCACTGGGACCAGCAGAGAGTGCTATGCATGCTGGAGACAGCACGTGATTGAAGGGGATGTTCCCTTTCTTCTGACCCCAGGGGCAAAATCCTTTCCTCTTTTATACACAGGCAACATTCAGACCACCATCCATATACCTCATCCTCAGATAATTAGGGAACCGAAATATTTGGCTCATGGTAACAATTCTATGTCTTCTAACAAGGGGAGCAGCGTTCCCCTAGGTCCCACTCCCTTTGAGCCGTGCTGCTATGACAGCAATGTGATTGTCACTGCCATGGTATGCTTAACCTTTGCCAAACCAGAGCTGAGGCATTAACTCAGATCCTCAACCCACATGTCTTAAAGGGCAATGTAACCTGTGCTGCCTCGGCCCGACACAGTCTGCAGCTCAGTAATAACAAGCATGAAAATGTGACAAGCGTGAGCCGTAAAAATGATTGATGCAACTAGAAAAAATAACAAAGAGAAGCTGAAAAATAGCAAGGAGGAGGAGGAATTCCTGGGACCAGTGTCTCCATGGCACCAGCAGCCCCCTACTCTCACACCAGAAGAAAGGCTACACTCGCCTGTCGTAGAAAGGATCTCCATGCCACACAATGAAATTCCAGCAAACAGGACAAGGACTGATGGTGTCTGGAAGTGGTAGTGCCACTGCTACCAGATAATAGTTTGAATTGGATTATGTGAGAAAAGGAGGAATATATAGACGACCAGCTGCTCAAAGGCTTACTTCAACCTTGCTTTTATTGTTCTGCTAAGTTAGAGGTGGGGCATCAGAGGGATTCCTAACATACCACTACTGAGAAATTTTAATATGTTCCACACTGACACATATAAAAAGGAAATAACAGCTGATCACAGCCAGCAGAGACTGCAGCATCTCTTCATATACATGCACAGAAGTGTGGTCAAAGTGGGGTGCTCTTGGCTCAGACACCTGAGCTAACCTGACCCAACCTTTTTCCTGCCTTTGAGCTGAGTTTCGGCAAAAGGACTGTCAAGTGTGAAGTCAGGCAGCAGTAAAAAAAGGTGATCTGGATGTGGCTATTCACTCCATCCTGAGATACCAGGACATGGAGAAAGGCAGGAGAGCTGAAAGGCAGAACACTTAACACTGATGAAAAGAAACACGTGTTTACACAACCGACAATGATCCAGGGGAACAAGATATCACCGAGGGCAAAAGTTTAGCTGGGCTCAGCGAAAGGACCTGCTGTGTATGGGGGGGTTACAGTCACAGGGGTTTCATTTCTGAAGAGCTTTTGGAAGGGCTCCTCAGGACTCTGAGAGTTCACTGGATGGGGTTAGGGAAAAATCCTATGCCCCAGAAAGTTACCCCATAGCTGCTGCCACAGGATCTTTGTGTCTTTCTTTGATGTGGCCGCCTCCAGAGGTGGATTGCTCAAATAACAGGGGCCTGCAGTCCCATATAGCAAAACCTTCCTAAAACTCACAGGAACAAGTCTCTCCTCACACTCAGAAGGAGTATGAGACAGAGAAATTTGTAATACTTCTAATGCAGCTATCAAATATTTATAATTGCAATGGCGATTGGGAGGTGGGGAGGGGGAAAGAGAGGATTTTGTTTTCTTTCAGTTAAATAATCCACCAGACAAGTTACAAAAATTAATGTCTCAGTGGTTTTGTGCAAGTTTTTGCCTTAGATAGTAAATTCTCTCCAAGTTCCAAGGACAACCTTGAGCACTTCCTTGTGCATCTGAGAGCAGACAAGCCAGGGAGGGAACAAAGTCAGCCCCAGGAGAAATGGGGAATGAAGCCAACCACAGGATGACTCCCTGTCAAATGAGTCACAGCAGGCATCAGTGTGAACTCCCAAGGAGCTGGCTCATTCCCCTCCCACCTGGGCAAGAGACACTGCAGATGATACCACAAGCCTCAGAGGTGAGTGGGGGATGGTTCCAGTGGGGCAGATGGCTTTTGTGGAAATCAGCCATGCCTAAGGAGCTACCTGGAGTACTGCTACTGCAAACTGTACCCAAGACTGTCCATAACAAATACCCTGCTCTGCAAAGGCCAGTCATCAGCATACATTAATCTGATCCAAACCAGGCACTGCACAAACCCAGCAAACCTACATGGGACACCTTCAGATGGAGAAATGAGACTGTAACTAATCATCAGCAGTCCCTATTTATACCCCATCCCTAAATCAAATTGCATTCTACTTTTTAAGCTTGAAATACCTTTTCCTTCCATGTTTGTTTTTAACTGGAAAGTCTTAAAGCATTGTTTTATAATACAAAATAAGATTTCATTAACAGCAAGAGCATATCAATGTCAATAAGTCACATAGGGAACCCCTGATTCAAGCTGGTATGTAATTACTCACCAAATAGTTCTGCTAAGGTCCAGGAAATTATTCTTGTGTATAACTACTCACAAATATGAGTAAGGTCCCACAGCAAGAGCAAAAGTAAGCATTATTAGTAATTCAAAAGGAAGGGAAAAAAATAATTACAGGTCCTAAAATGTAGATGTTCTTATATTCTTTTAAGAAGGAACAAATAACAGCACTGTGATTATTACAGCCACACTTATTGCCACACCAGGCAGCTGGGTTGCTTCTATTAGAAAATAACTTTGCAATAAAGTGTGGATTTCAAGTGAGTTTGTCCCCACTGATGGTTTTAAATAATCATTTGCCTTCAAGTGAGCTTGTCCTATTACTGGTTTTAAAAAACCTTTTGCCAGTCCCTTTTCAACAGGCAGAGTTCCTGCCTGGTTATAAAGCTTTAGGAACTGTAAGTAACATGTAGCATATAGGAAATATGTTTTTCATCTCTAAAGAGCTGCAGAAACCTTAAGGAGTTACTTGCCATGCTATCTGTCCAGGCACAAACAAATAAGGTTATGGGGAAGCTATGAGAGAAATTTCAGTGAACTTGCAGGGTAGGATAAGAAATCTGCCTGGCAATGCCACCAGAGTCAGGGCAAACACACACAGACACACACACACACACACACACACACACAGACACACAGACACAGACACACACAGACACACACACAGACACACACACACACACACACACAGACACACACACAGACACACAGACACACACACACACACACACAGACACACACACACAGACAGACACACAGACACAGACACACAAACATACACACACACACAGACACACACAATCCTGCAAATCCAGATTTGTCACAAGAAAATCGCCCCTCCAGCACCCACTGTGGGTGACACCGCAGCAGCGGCTAACCCAGTCCTGAGATTGGTCTTTGCTACTGTGTTCTTTGCTGCCGGCCCCATTCACCTGAGCTCGGATGGGATGATGCCCTCACCTGAATGCCGGGGGGAGCCGGGGCTGTGTCTCCGCCGCGCTCTCCGGGGCAGTGCCGGCTCCGAGCCCGCAGTGCTCGGACACCTGGGCCCGGGGCTCACAGCAGCGGGATCCTCCTTTCGTCCCAGAGAAACAGCGAGCAGCCCTGCTCGTGTCTCCGGCGCTGACACACAGGGAAATGATCTGCCGGGAGCGGAGGAGAGCCCAGAGCCTCCCTCTGTGCTTCAGCGGGCGGGCTGGGGTCGCGCAGCATCCTCCGGGCTCGGAGCCACCTACCAAACCTCTCCGGGCAGCGGGGCTTTCCTCACAGCTCCCAGCCAATAAACAGTGTATGGCAAATCTGTCCTAACCCGCAACCAGCGCTGTCCGCTCCATTGGAAAGCCTTGCGGAAGTTTGGATAAATAATAATGTGCTAATTATGAGTGCTCCCGCCAAGCGTGAGACGCAAAGCTAGAAATGAATATTGCCTGTTGTTTCAAATTATTCCAGGAGATGACTGGCAAGAGAACAGCAGGCGTAAGTAGTGATAAAAGTAAACAGTCCAACTTTAAAGCAGCAGGCTTGCCCGTGTTCACAGAGCCCTTTTGCGGTGGGACAAAGAGGGTGCTGGCCATAGCAGAGCTCTCCCGGTGAATTCCGGGCAGAATCCAGCAGCTCCATTCACTCCAAAGCCACACAGCCATGGCCAGCACACAGCTGCAGACTGGAGCTCTGTGCTCACGAGAATTGGAGTTTAACCAAGTTGTACCTATCCGACCTCAGGCAGGCAAACTTCAGACAGCAGGACACAGGAGTAAGGAGACACACGGACTGGAGCTGTGTTGATTCCATTTAAACACAGTTTAATTTAACAAACTGTACAAGGAGAACATGTCTCTGTCAGATAAAGAGATTAAGCACTCAATTTAAGTTCGTGTAATACTCAAAATCTGTAGGAATCTCTTATTTGCATGCTTACCTTTGGAAAAATGCACCACTCCTTCCTTCCCTCAAACTCCTCGGAGAGCTAAGAGAGGTCCTGTTACTTCCAAATGCTTTTGTTCTTCTGTGCCTCCATCACATGGCTTGCCTTTTATATTTGCAACACACAAAAGTTAGGGCCGTTGTCTAAGAGAGAGAGGGAGAGAGGGGGAATGTCAAATGGAAAAGTGCCATTGCAGTCATATATCAATCAGGGCAACAGCAGCAGCAGCTCTCTGGCAAATGGGAATTCCACAGAAATGTGAAGCTCTTGTTATCTGAGAAATCAAAAAACACCACCAGCCAAGCTTCCCTCTGCAGGGACTTCTTATTATGGGCAAGCCAGGAAATAGAAGGAAATGTAGGCGCTTTTTAAATTGCTGTTATTGTTTCAGATCTGGAGATAAGGAGGCTGTGGCATGTGTAAACCAGTGGAATATAAATCCTGAATCAAATTCCTTCCTAAACAAATGCACCATGTGCAAGATAAAGCAAACCACTGAGAAGCAAGGTAATGGAGCTAAGTGAAGAATCTGACAGTAATGATTTAAAGAATTTGATAACTGTTTGCACTTGGAAAATATCCATAGAAGAACTACCTGCTCCCTGGATTACTCATTAATCTCCTTTTTTTTTTCCTGACCAGTTTTTCTTAGGCTTTTTTTAACTGTGATTGATGCCAGATATCCTTAATTCAAGCTGTGCTGCTTCATTACAATTGGTCAACCAAATCATCTGATATTCCCTGGCTCTCCAGTTGGGTAAGCAGGTGAGCATTTTCTGTATTAATACTTGTCTGTAAATCTGAAATTCCCTTGCTTCAGACAACCTGCCCTGAAATTCTGAAGTATCTGTCAAATAAACCCTGAGTTTTACTCAAAGAAGAAAGCATTGTCTTTCTACTTTACACATTTTTCTCTGAAGAAGGCCAAGTTTCAAAAAAGTTATCCTTAAAATATTTTATATAAATAAATACATAAATAAATACATAAATAAATACATAAATAAATACATAAATAAATCATTTCTCTGAGAGGCTGAAGGCAGTCTCCATTCACTGAAAAACACCACTAAGAACAAGCACATCACAGCTCTGGATGCACCAACCCTCCTCTCTGGAGAGGAGGGTGTTTCACTTCCCTGTGGAATGCCCCCTAGTTATCCTGCAGGACTATGGGAAGCACAGACCTAAGTTGGTTGATTAAAAATTAGGCAACATAGCCATTCACAAGCTGGATCTGTTCAGAGGCACTGGCCAGCAGATGGACTGGGTTCTGCATCGATTGTGTTTGAACTCTAAAGGAAAGTTGGTATTTGATGGATGATGTTATTAGCTAAATGCCTTATGTGGTATAAGATCAAAGAACAGATGGGAATTATGATTTAAAAAAAGAATAATCTAAAAGGAGAATGGCTTTTAGATGAGTAAGCATCATGGAAACAATAAAAGAGACTTTCTTTGGCTTGCTTTGCTGCACAGCCAGGTTTGCCTGGTGGGATAAACAAACACACTTAAGACTGAAGTTCTTAGGATGTGAGTTTTGCTGCACATTTTTCCCTTCACATTCAGTGTTTGCACTGTTTTGCCTCTTGAGTCAACCTTGTGTTTCCCTCCCTGACCAAACGTGTCCCAGCTCTCTGTTTCCTCGCAGATGCCACTGAACTCACCCAGGGTGGGTGGTGGCAAAGCTCATCAGCACCTTCCCCTCTCTGTGACCACAACTGAGACTGCTGCTCTGGCATGGCACTCACCTTAAACTGAGAGACTACACACAGCAACCTTTTTTAATTTACACAACACCCTCCTTTAAAATGAAGGTCATTGGCCCTTCAGTCACTGTGCTGCTGTGTTGTCTCTTTTTTTCCCACTGGCAAGAAAGTGATTTAAAAATGATTTAAATACTCTGGTTATTTTTGCTAAGAACCTCCCATGTGCAAGACAAAGTAGCCTCTGGATGAAGTCCTCCAGGAGACAATGGATATCCTACTCATGGTCCTCAGTGAAAATGGTGCTTTAGGGTTTTTTTATTTGCACCACTTAGGCTTCTTGGCTTTGTGTCATCTGCAGGTGACAATATCTGTGTTATTTTTTGCTGGGTGCTAACCATACTCAACAATTATCAATAATTCCTCAAACAGAGGTATATTTGAGATTTAGTGCTCAGCAGTTTGCTACCACAACAGAAATTCTTAGTACGGGAAAATCAGCAAAAGTGACTTTCAATTTTTTTATCTTCAGCTTCCAGACTCTGTTTGGCAGCCAGTGGAAGTTAATCAGCAATTAATTGACTGCACAGCCTGGTGACTTATAAACTGACACTCTCATTTGTGGCCTTCTGAATGAACTTGCACGTGATCACAAGCACAAAAGTAGAAACATCTAATGTAGCCTCCCCCCAATTCAAGAACACCGTGGCCCATAACTTTTTCATAGCTGTTCATAAATCTTTAGGCTCTCTCAAACGCTGTGACTTAATCCTACCCATAAAACCAGACATTTTGAAGAAACAAATAAAAGCAGAAAGAACAGGAGCTCAGAGCTCAGTTTTCAAAGACCATTAGACATCTGAGATGACCCCAGATATAAGATAATATTTCCAGAAGATTTAAGGTATTCTGCTCCCATCAGTTCTGATCTGAGTTCCCTTCAAAGGAGGCTTATCTCACTTAGAAGTATTGGCCTGAAAACTAAATTTAGGCTCTTCCAGGAGCAAATGTAGAGTTTCCATTCCAAATTACTTCTAGTACATGCTCAATTCATATTGACAACAGTAACAGTTTTTCTCTCTGTGAACAACCATCGTTATTTTTCTGACTCAGATGAACTAAATGTATGTATATATATATGTATTCTTAGAGAATCAGGATGTAATTTTGAAGAGATAGAGATCCATTACTTCATGGAATTCTACCAACCTCCCTATTTCAGTCCCCATAAAATGTATTGGAGACTTGTACCTTATTCTTTATTCCACCACCACTGTATGACCTACAAGACTCATGTTTGTCCTCAGAAAAACATTGGACTACCATTAGCTACAGTTCAGTGGGGCCCAAATGTTTGCCCTGTTTGCATCATCAACCCCCATGTTCCTTCTTCAAAGGAGCAGGATTTCACTTCTCCATCATTCATGGGTTGTGAAATGCATTCAGACTTGTGCAGAAAACTCAGTATTTCGTTTTTATCTTAGGGATTTCCCAGTGATGCCACTTTGTAGTCTCCCCCAGGCAATTTTTACATTCTGAGACAGCAGGTTACAGACCTCAAAATCACCAAATGTGCTGTGAGAACAGGCATTGCTTGGTACCTGTGCTGGTGGTGTCTGCAAAGACCAGGAAAGGAGTACAAACTCAAGGACAATCTTCACATATTGATACACACTCACAGACATAAATACTGCACCCTTTTTCTGGAAGCAGTTGGAGGGAGTGGGATGCACAGGAATGCAGGTCAGGGAAAGGCCATGCTTTGTTCCATTATTGAATTGATGAAGGAGGGTTTATATTTGGGGATTTGCCATCAGTATTCTTCTCATAGTTGTGAATGTAGGAGGAACTGAAGGCATTGTAATGGCAATCTACAGCAATAAAAAATGTAATACTTATATAATGAATTTATACTTTGTATATGTAAGAGGTACTCAGAATTCTTAGAGGAAGTATTTCCTATCATTTTCAAAATAAAAATAAATATTAGGCAAATAACATTCCAAATAATTCAAACTACATAACCACATACAGCAATGAATGAGCAGGTGGCACAAAAGTCTGTTAAGACACTCAGTGCTTTTCATCTTTCTCCCCATGGTGCTTTATCTCAGATTTGTTATGCAAAGATATTTAAATGCCTAAATACACATAATCTTCTATAAACTGAATGGATCTCTTCTTTCAATGTTTATATGTATTAATGAATCTGTGTTGTTAAGAAGCAGTAAATGGAAATGTTTATTTAGCAATTTTACACAAATTTGGTAAAATTTACACAAACACAGTTATTTCAGCAAGGCTCCCATCATCTGGGGATAAGGCTGCTATGGAGAAGTCTGTGAAAATTAGGCTAAATTATACACTTATTAATTTTAAGACAGAAAGACATTTTGCCTGTGGACAAAATGTCTTTAGTCTGACTTGAAAATGCAGCTGCAGAAGGACCAGAAGTTGGTGTCCCCCTGGCTCCTTCAGCAGGAAGAAGCTGTTGGCCAGGCAGGGTCACCGCCTCTGAAGGGTGCTGCCCACGAGGCACAGGTTACTGTGGACTATCAGTGCTTAAAAAAGACAAGCTGAGGAGCCTGACAAGCAAACAATGTGCCAAGGGGAGATCCTGGATGAGCAGTGTCTTGGCTGTGTCTGGAGGAGAGGCAGGTGATGCTGTGGCATTGGAAGGTTTTCATGACTGATTTGGGCACACAACGTCACTGCCCTGCCCTCAAGTCACAGCCAGGCTGACCTGCACTCACCAGGAGCCCCAGCTGATGGTTTGTACAGGACAGAAGTTTGTGGATTCCTACATATTTTTTCCCCCTTCTCCCTCATGGTTACTCACTCAGGTTTTTCCCCTGCATAACCATCAGCTCCTTGATCCCCACGTCTGTTGACTTTGTGTAATTAAACTCTTTGTCCTTTGCTCTCTTCCCACAATTTTTTCAACTGC